TCTCTCTCTCTCTCTCTCTCTCTCTCTCTCTCTCTCTCTCTCTCTCTCTCTTTTGTTGCTGTTTTGAAGCCCCACCCAAGAGTACTGCAGATTTTTTTTCCAAAGTTTCTACTGCAGAATACAGGACGCCTGCCAACTGTTGTACATCATTCTTTTACATCATTACATCATTCTGTTTTTACATCATTCTGTGCCCTGCTCACATCCTCAAAGCAGCAGCATTTTCACTGATATTCCCACCCTTATGAAATTTTAATCAGCATGTGTGAATGTCTATAAATACCACCCGGACCTAATTATCTGTGACATAAAATCCTATTTCAAACAAGACCAAGAGTCCACAGCCAAACAGCTGCAGGGTGCTTTGAGCTAAATGCTAACATCAAGTGAAAGTAATGTTTAACAATTACCATTATCAGCATATTTAAACAAAGATAAAATAAAATACAGCAACAACTTATAGTGATCACGTCTATCTGGGTTTGTGGATTTGTTTTTCTTTATTTGTACATGCAGAGTACCATCTATTTGACATTTGTATATATATTACATGAATATAAAGTCACGGACAGTTTCGCGATTTATTGAATCTTATTGACTGTTTTCAGAATACAGTATAGCAAACAATACGTTTGAAATGACTGTACAGATGTAATTACTGTACTGTGTAAAGATTAAATAACACACTACAGAACCTCCAGTATACAAAATATAGATTACCGTAGTTTTAATTATAGCCAAAAACAGTTGATAATAGACCACTAATGCACAGCTGGGTGGTGGAAAACTATCAATGCCTAATTAAAAAATGAAGCATAAAATACATACATTTTTTCCATATGTTGTCATGTATGTAAAGACCCAACATGAACACTGTGAGCAGACTACTTGATTATATAATCCGCTCAAAAGTAAGCATCTAAGGGTGATGTAGCTGTTTTTTGCCTCATTATGCTTGTGTTGGTTGATTAAATACAGCAGCATTGTTTCATCAAGAAGATGTCACGTCTGGTTTAACATCACGTTCACCTGACTGATTACAGGTGAAAAACTGCAGCTACATGTTAGTTTTCAGTATTTTACCCAACCTAACTTTTGTTTTAACCCCGGTCACAGTTGTGATAAAAGTCCCGCAAGCTCAAAGAAATTTGAGGCCCTCTTTACAATCTCTTTTTGAGAAACGTGAGAGCGATTTAGGGTCATTGTCATGGTGTTCAGAACATAGAAAGAGACATTAAAGTAACCGTGAGCCTTTATGTTACTGTGACAAGTTGGAAGAAAGTCAGCGTCAAGGATCAACATCTCGACGGATTAAGTTTAAATAGCATCTTAATCCGATTTAAAGTAATCCGAGTTAAACAATGACATGTTCCTTTGTCGTCCTGTATACCGTTATTGACGTTTAAAAATGAAATATTAACACCTTGTTAATAACACACATTTAATAATATCGTGTAAATAAACTCATTTTAAGTCATTTTATGTACAGACTTCCTGCACCTCGCTGCACTCGTATTTTGAGTGTAATTCAATATTTCCAGCAAGCACTCATCTCATATCCATAAACATATGTTCCTGCTGTCTCCACCTCAATGAGTTATAACTCTTATCTCCTCTCTCTCTCTCTCTCTCTCTCTCTCTCCTCCATCTCTGCCTGTGTCTCTGTGCTGTTTGTGCTGTGAGTTACGTAAGCTCTACAGCAGAGAGAGAGAGGGAGGACACCCATCAACGCACCACACCTACCGGAGACTGCAGTGCTCAGCAGAAAAATATAGCGGCACTGAAAAAAAAAATAAAAGAGATAACACGTGAGAGGGCGAGCCAGGGGAGAGAGTGAATGAGGGAGAGAGGGATGAAGGCACGCAGGGGGAGGACAACATGTATATTATTGTATATACAGTGTCTCTGTATGGGGGGGGGTGCAGATAGATGAAGAAAGAGGGGGAAGACCGATGAGAAGAGGAAGAAGGAATGAAGCCAGAAAGACAAAATGGAGTGAATGATGGATAAAAATACTGAATCTATGATCTCCTGGCTCAAATCAATTCAATGTACTCATCATGAGAAGTATTATATTTTAGGATTTCTTTTCTTATTTAGCTTTGAATGGAGTGAGTTTTAAAGATTTATTTACAAACTCATTTACAAGAAGCGTCTAAGAAAAGATGCAGAGAGTTGCATTGGGGGGAAGTTTTATGTTTATTTGTACCTGTATTTGTTCGGCTTTGTTGTCCTTCTACTTAGCTGTGTGTCTATCTTCCTGTAAATTGTTCTAAGTACGTTGAAAGCAACTTAAAACTAGTTTAATTCTGTCTAGGTGTGCTCACATATTTGACCAATAAAGCTGATTGTGAGCTTGACCGACACCAGGGACTAAAAGTCAGGATAACTATGTGCTTTACCAATCTGTTTCTTACAAATCCCATAACTTTATAACAACACAAACTCAGCAGACGATCCCTTTAAATTACATCGGATTAACACATATTTTAAGATTTAACTTTGGGCATTGGATGCCTTTATTTATATAGTGTCAACATCTGCTGACAAAGTTAATGACAAAAAGCTAGGCGGCAACCTCCGGGTCTGAAAAGTGAAGTGTCTTAAAGCTGCATTCTCTCTAGTGTCCACCAGGGGGCGACTCCTCTGGTTGTATAGAAGTCTATGAGAAAATAACTCTACTTCTCTCTTGATTTATTACCTCAGTAAACATTGTAAACATGAGTTTATGGTCTCAATCTCTAGCTTCAAGTCTTCTTCAATACAGCATGATGTTCATTTAGTACATTATGGTCCATTTAGAGTCACACAGACCATAAAGCAGGGGATGCTTTAGGGCGGGGCTACACAGTGATTGACAGGTCTCCACCAAGGCGTTTTCTCTACCCTCTCGCGTCACTTCTGGTTGCAAAAGAACAAGATGGCGACGGCCAAATTGCCAAACTCGAGGCTTCAAAATGTCCGTCCACAAACCAATGGGTGACGTCACGTGACTATGTCCACTTCTTATATACAGTCTATGCAAAAAGCCGGTAATTAAACCTTGAATTGAGATTATTTAGTCAGAAAGAAGTAAACATAAAGCTCTGTATCGTCAGGATTGTGACAAAGTTGTTCATCTTTTGCATTGATGAGAGAGTTTAACATTCATCCAATGTTCAAAGTGCTCAAACTGAATGTGACGTTTACTTCCAGAAGCCTGGACGTCTGAAATAACTTATCCCAAACTCTCTGGACAGCTAAGAAAAAAATGTAAATGAAGTTTTGCCATTTTGTGGTTAATTGTAAAAACGACCCTCGTAAAAACATACATGGAGATGAAGGGAGAGAAACAAATGAAGATAGGGAAGAGTCAACAGAAAAAGACAGAGAGGAGGAATGAAAGATGGATTTAAATAGAAATACATGCAAAGAGAATGAGAGGATGGCCAGAAGGAGGAGAGAGAGAGAGAGGGAGGAAAGGAGGGAGGGAGGGAGGGAGGACGAAATGGAGAGCGAGTGGAAGCGAGGCAGTGTGAGAGAGAGATAGAGAGATAAAGAGAGGAGGAGAGAGATGAATAATTAAATGACCCTGTTTGGCTGGAGAAGAGAGGAGAAATAGGGGGATGAAGAGATGGAGGAGGAGGAGGAGGATGAGGAGGAGGAAGAAGGCTGATCATAGCACGTATGGCAGACACACAGAAGAGGAAGTGGAGCAGTCTCACACATACGCAATAATGTGTCCACATTTACACACATACACATCTTTTAACTCGCAATTATCACAAGTACTCTGACACACACACACATACACAAACACACACACATATCACATCCACCCACACAGAGTGACAACACACACACACATTTCTGTGTCTTCCATGTTAGATATCAGCTATCGCACACACACACTTGATATAGCAGGAACTCAAACATGATTAACTGCAAGATCACACACACAATGTTCCTGCTGCCAAAACACACACACACACACACACACACACACACACACACAAATATGAACATACACTTTCCCATGCCTGCCATATTGAAAAAATAATTAACCATCAAACACACACACCACACACACACCACACACTGGATATACCAGAGACTAGACTTGACTGCATGAGCAGATAGTATTCCCGTATAGCCAAAACACACACACACACACACACACACACACACACACACACACACTGTCGCTAAAACACACACCTGAACAAACACACATGTATATACACAGACAAACACACACTTGACAGCCATTTTCCAAGAAATCCAAGAAACCATACACACGTAATATTTCTGCAGCCAAAACCCACATAAACAAATATTTTGCACATGCATACTCCTTTTTCCAAAATAGTGCATGAAGCGAAATCACACACGCACACACAAACACACACACACACACACACACACACACACACACACACACACACACA